GGGAGCTGGATTTTATATTCTCTGCGTCTTGGCCATTGATGAGACCAACCTGGCGCTGGCAGCAGCTGGTGAGTATGGCGCCTACCTACTGGAAGATAGGGGGTCTGGTTGGAGAAGGCCCAGTCCCAACCCAAGTAGGCTTAGAGACCTCAACCCCGGGACCTGCATGCCTGGGTTCCTCTGCCAGTTCTTTCATGCATGAGGCCCATTCGGACGTGTGGAGAGTGGTCCCAGCATGGCCGTGGCTGGTTCCGGAGGTCCTCAGCTGCTGGGGTTCTGCTCGGGGTGGAGGGGTGAGAGAAACTCAATCCTCCCCCCTCCAAGGGGCCCCAGTGAGGACATATATTTCCAAACTATATTAGGAAATATAATTGTTATAAGCAAACCCTGCTTGTTTTTACTACAGGCTAAAGGTAATGAAAACATTATCATATATTTTTGGACATGGGCTGGAGCAATAGCACAATGGGAAAGGTGTTTGCCTTACACACAGCTGACCTGGCTTTGATTCCTTTGCCCCTCTCAGAGAGTCCGGCAAGTTACCGAGAGTATCTCGCCTGCTCTGCAAAGCCTGGCAAGCTCGCCTTGAATTATTCAATATGCCAAAACCAGTAACAACAAGCCTCACAATTTGTTGTGAGGTGTTACTGGTGCCTGCTCGAGCAAATCGATGAACAATGGGAGGACAGTGCTACAGTGCTACATTTTTGGACATAGTAGACTGGGAAAGGGAATGAAAAACTCTGGAAGAATAAACTGGAAGTTCAAGTTCTATCTTTTACTCTATCTGAATATATGGGAAGATTATTTTAAAATGCAAAACCGGGAGAATGGACCAGCAACTGCACAATCTCTTCTACTGAAGACAAAAATGTTTTAAGTTGAGCAAAATAATGATGATAATAAAATCAAAATATTGAAGAATTAGTAAGACAGAAAGAGAAATGGCAAGGATAAGGTCTGTAGAGTGAAAGAAACCCTTTATTGGGACAGGTTTTTTTTTTTAATTTTTATTTTTTTAGCAAGGAGATTGTACCAGTTCTAGAAGAAGATGCCAAGAAGCTGAGAAGTTTGTTAGCATTCAGTAGTTTCAAAGATCCAGCGGGAAAATTGTTGCAGTTCAGGGCCCCAGAGAGTAATTAGAATAAATACCTAGTAAAACAGCCTTTGTTCCACTTTAGATCCTCAAAAGTAATATTCACAAAACAAGGATGTCAACATTCAGAAAGGCCACAGAACATGTTCAAACAATCTCAATCCCTGAAACTGAATTAGGGTGAATATACGAACACACAACAAAAACAACAACAACAACAACACACACATAAACACATGCACACACACTCAAAACTGTGTTAGAGAAAAGAGATTAACCTCTAAGTAATATCAGAGTTCAGAGATGGCTTCTCAATAGGAAGAATCAAAAGCAAAGTATAAAGGATTACATTTTCTAAAAACTCAAAAAAATATGACTGGAGCAATAGCACTGCGGGTAGAACATTTGCCTTGCACATGGCCGACCAGGGTTTGATTCCCAGCATCCCATATGGTCCCCTGAGCACCGCCAGGGGTAATTCCTGAGTGCAGAACCAGAAGTAACCTCTGTGCATCACCGGGTGTGATCCAAAAAGCAAAATAATAATAATAATAATATGACCATCAACTTATTTGATAAATCAACCTTCCGAACAGAAGAAGAAATTAGTATGCAACCAACGAGAGAAAACATGTTGCCCAGCATATACAAATTATTTTAAAGAAAATGTTGAAAGCTTTTCTCAAGACAAGGGAGAATATCCCAGATAGAAGTTTTTAAATGTAGGTATAAATGATGAGAAGCTAAAATATTAACATGTACGTTAGATAAAGAAATATTGACTGTGCAGCCATAATAGCAATGTCTTGTGAGATCTAGAATTTAAAAAGTAGCAATTGCCATTAAGTCTTGAGGATGAACCAAGAGTGAACTTAGAAGGAGGAGGACTGCATTAGAATATTCTAGTGTCTATATTATCTGAAAGGCTCTGAGGATTGCCTACTAAAGTTAAGAATGTTGGATATGCATGCTGGATTTTCTAAAGAAGAATTATAGCCTTATTACTTCAAGACTAAAAGAGGAAAAGAAGGAATAACACCAAGTACTCCATTCAAAACAGGCCAGAAAGTAAGAAAAGTGGAGTTTGAACATAAATTTGTTCATTAGCTAATGAACAACACATATTCGGTGGTCGCTGCTTGTATCTCATGTTTTCTGTAGAATATATATTTCTACTTTACTTGTGACCCTACCTGCTCATTCGTTTCAAAACAATGTGTACTATTGATTGTCAGTATTTATACTTCCTAAGTATAAATACCTTAGTATCTCATTGCATATAATAATCCAATTATTATAGCTTATTACACTAGGATAAAAGCACAATGATCAATGACACATTGTTTTGTAACATATGAACACTTGGAGTAAAAGTAAAACAGTAATGTGTGTTCCACTGAAAACATGAACTCTAGGAGGCAACCACTGAACCTATTTAATGTGCCTGTCCAGGTGACAGACTTGGGTAGAGTGGGGGTTGGGGTGGGGAGGGAATCTGGGAACATTGGTGAAGGGAAGTTGATACTGGTGCCGAGATTGGTATTGAATTATTGCATGCCTGCTACTGAACTATCAGTAACTTTGTAAATCATAGCTCTTAAAAATTTTTTTTAAAAAAAAGAGAAAAAAAATGTATGTTCTAAGTTTTAAGCAGAAGAATGGTGATATTCCATGCAGATATTTACAAAGAAAGCTGGTGTATGAGTATAAATATTATACTAAGCAGTCTTATGTGACAAATATTTCTAGAAGTCAATAATGACACTTCCCAACTATAAATAATTTCCATTTTATGGGGAAATTCAACAATTATATTATTGCACTTATCTACTAGATGACCTAGGAATATAAAGCAAGCAGTTGACACTATTTTAAGGGGAAAAAAATTGCTAAATAAATTGATGGTTAAAACATAGGAAGAATTTGAACTATAAAATTAGCCAAGAACCTAATGGGCATACACAGAATATACTGTTAAAAATTATGGAGAAAAATAACAAAAATTGGAAAATATTTTGAGCTAAGTGATATAACCTATTTGTAATAATTATAGATGCATTCATTATCTTCTAATGGGGAAATACATTTTAGCATCACTGTCACGATCACTGTCCTCCCATTGTTCATCAATTTTGCTCGAGCGGGCCCAGTAACGTCTCCATTTTGAGACTTGTTGTTACTGTGTTTGGCATACCAAATATGTCACGAGGAGCTTGCCAGGCTTTGCCGTGTGGGCGAGATACTCTCGGTAGCTTGCCGGGCTCTCTGAGAGGGGCAGAGGAATCGAACCTCAGTCGGCCGGGCCGGCTGTACACAAGGCAAACGTCCTACCACTGTGCTATCGCTCCAGCCCACATTTTAGCATATCTTTAGCAAATGTTTTAGAGTAGAGTAAAATCATGGTTGAAATAAGTATCTAAGCATCCATTTTTCAGAAGTTAAAAAATGTAAATTCCAGGTGTATTTTATATCTATTATAAAAGATAAAAATAATAATGTTTCTAAGAGATAATATAAGAGAATATCTTCATGTCCTTATTGTAGCCAGAGTTTTTAAACAGTACCACACATTATTTCTAAAAAAACGGGTTGATAATCTTGATAAAAGAGAAAATAATCTATAGGGGCAAAGGATATATCTTACAACAGATTACTTACCTTGCATATATGAGATGCTATGTTTGATTCCTGGCACCACAGATAAAATTTTTTAAATTTAATTGAAAAAATATTAAAAGGAAAGGATGGAAATAGTCACTATAGAAGTCAGAAGATAATGGATATTTTAGGCAAAAAAGAATGCAATGTAGATTAGAATAATCTGCTTCTTTAGCTGAATGCTATTCCCACATTGTTGGCTCCGTGACAATTTACTGTTTCACATTTCCTATCTAGTGCCTTTCTCTCTATGTGTTTTAGGGGTTACCTGGCTCTGTTCTTGGGGTTGCTCCTGACAGTGCTGGGTGGGGTGGGAAAACATGGGATAATGGGTACCAAACTGGGGTCGGCCACATGCAAAGCAATCACTTACCTTCTATATTATTTCGTATAGATATATCTATATGCATGTTTTATTTCATACGGAGAGGTCACATGAATAAAATGTAAATCGAGCCCTAAAAGCAACTCCCTTCACCCTCAGGATGGAATTTAATATTCTATCTTTAACTCCCTGACCCTTGAGAAGTTTCCCCTACCTGTCCCTCCAGCTCCCTGAACCTATGACCTTCCCTTCTGTGCCACAGGAAACAAACACAGTTTGGCAGCCTGCAGTGCAAGATCACCGGACGCTTTCTGCCTTTTCCAAATACAGTGTGTTTCAAACTACCCCGTCCTCACACCCACTCCACATCACCACTAATATCTTCATTCAGGGGGAAAAGTCCCTAAACCTTTTCCAGCAGCGACCTCATCCCAGAAGTTTTTCTAGTCTTTCTGAAATGACTTGAGGGCATGCCTTCCTCTTGATGACATTTGCCACCCCCGTGGGACATTTCTGTTGAACAGAACAGAGCAGAACACCTGTGGTTTGGTCAGTGTCTCTTTTTTTCTATCTTTGTGGGTTTTTTCTTTTCTTTTTGGGTCACACCTGGCGATGCACAGAGGTTACTCCTGGCTCTGCACTCAGGAATTACCCCTGGCGGTGCTCAGGGAACCCTGTGGAATACTGGAAATCAAACCCAGGTTGGCCACGTGTAAGGCAAACACCTTACCCATTCTGCTATTGCTCCAGCCCCCTTGGTCACTGTCTTAACAGGATCATGAGGTGAGAAGGGAACCGTTCCCATATGCTTTTCTATCCTGGGAGTCGTTTTTGGACCTGACCCATGGTGGAATCCAGAAGCATCTGGCAATGCAGGAATAAATCAGACTGATGACATGTCAAACTTTCTGTGCTACCCAGGTGGATGGTGAGCAGCTGAAGCTGGAAAGTGAAGACATTGAAAGCATTGACGAGACCAAATTAAGCCGTTTCATCGAGATCAACAAGCTCGGCTGGGTGACAGAGTACAATCCTGTGGTAAACAGCAACTCCTAAGTCCCCATGTCAGGCGGGCAATGTGTCTTCATGACAGATCACCTTCCCTGTACTTCCGATCTTGTGATAATGGTGACTGCCATTGTCGCTGGTGTACCATCCTTACCCAAGAAACAGAGTCAGTTGAATGATACCTCATAGCACCACTAAGAAAAATCCAGAATGCAGTGTTAAGGTGACCAAAATCTTCCCAATTCTGCTCCCTGAAGACCCCTAGGATCCAGCCTACTTTACAGTTCTGACACATGATTACAAACTATGCTGATGGGGCCATTGGTGGCCTAAAGCTTCCATGCCCCGTACTTTGGTCACATGTAATAAAAGTTAATAGGCACATAAAAATTTAAAAATGAAGGCCTCAAAATTACATTTGGTGTTAAATCCCTATTTCCCATTTTCTGAGTCCAGCTTGCCAAGGTCCAGTGATTGGGCTCTCACCATATAACCTCATAGACGCTCGTAGAAACTCTGATTGCTTGCCCAGCTGTCTTCCTCCTGCCTTTGCCTGCTACATGCCACTGAACAAAGGTGTCAGGTGACCAGTCCTGGTAGCCTATTGGCATTTACAGGACACCACTGATTGTGTCTTCTATTTCCCCTGAGATGGAGCCTACAAGGATGCAACATTCCTTCCCAGTGGTCCACCTCAGCTCAGAAAGGCTATGTAGTCTCTCTGGCCACAACATGGTTACCAGCCTTGCAACACCTTTCTGCAGCTGTCTCTCATTCAGTCCTCACACTGATTTTGTGAGGTAGAAATTGATGTTGTATCAAAGAGAACCATCTAGATCCAAGTGACTTAGTCAAATGACACAGTGAGTGAGCATGAACGAACCTCCATGGGCAAACATTACGCCCAGCACTCTAGTTTGTATTGTCTAGTTCCATTTCACAGGAGAGGAAAGAAAAGTCAGAAAAATGAAGTCACTTCCTCAAGCCCCTGTGACTAGGAATTTGAGCTTCCGAGACTACCCCATGACCCTGTCCCTGCTTTGTTCATGACTGGTCTGTCTGTCTGGATCCTGTGGTTTTTCCATTGCCCCACACAGCCTTCTGTAGAAAACACCCTTTTTTCCTGTTGACTGCATTCCAGCCCGCCTCTCACTACATGTTTGTGTCTGTGGTGTGGTGACTCTATTTCCATTTCTGCTAAGATTCCAAACACTTGTCTGCTGGGGGTGTTGGCAGCAATCATCCAAAGGGCATTTTTCCCCTAAACTATCATCCTTCCCCTAAACTACCATCCTTCTGGTGATCATTGTATCTCTAGAGCTTCCAGGACTGCACTTGGGCCCCCAAAAGATGGTCTTTGGTTCTTAGTTCTGAGGGTCCAGTGTCCTGAGCTCTTAAGGCAGGACCGCATACTGGTCATCTCATCTCACAAAACAGTGATATTATTTTAAGTTCCACATTACAAGTGAAGGCAAATTTTATCAAGAAGAAATTATGTGGAAATTTTTTTGAAGGAGAAGGTTCCATTTGTATTGTGACTTTTTCATTTCCCCCAAGTAAATTTTTTCTCCTTTGGATGTCTGCCTACACTCTTAATCTAGTTATTCTTCAGATATTTGACTGTAGAAATTAACACCAAAAGCAAGTGGGCAAAAACTCATAGTCAATCATTCTGGCTGCTATGCCCATTTAATACTTGGCTCAGGGTGCAAAACCAGGGTGCATCTATTAAGATTAAACGAATCACTTCTGCTCTTCCCAATCTCTTCTGCTTAAACAATGGTACCTGACTATTTAGTTTTGCTTTCTTGATTCTTCCCTAACTATACACTTTTTGTCTCTCAGAGTATAGATGCATACTCAAAATTTAAGTAACAGAATTTAGTACAAGTCGATTATTTATCATCATCTCCAAAATTTAAAACCCAAAAATTGAGTTTAAACTTTTGGGTGAAAGTTTAGGGGAAGGAGCCCCATTTGGCCTTCTTTATCTACATGTTGTTCAATAAGGCAGGAGAATCTTGACAGAGTGGTATGTGCCTTCCAGAAGGATACCACCTTGTTGTTATCCTTTCCACCATCTTGGGACTTGACCTACAGATTTATTAATCAGCAAGAAAAGGAATCAATGTTGTTCCTGGTCTCCTGAAGAGCTTGTTTTATTTCTGGACTGAGGTGGACTGAGGTTCAATCACGCTTAGCATTGAATTGGCTTAGCTGTGAATTTACCATCAGTTGTGAGTGAGAGGTAACCCAAATTTCCTGGTATAACTCCCAATCAAGGTCATCTACCATCCGATGACGTTGGGAGAATCATTTAACCAATCCTGGGCTTTAATTTCCTCACCCATAAAGATGAGACTTTCAGGATTAAATTAGTCCTTAGATGTAAATAACTGAAAAGAGAGCCTAGCACCTAGAAAATTCTAGTATCCGCTACATCCACAGATAGATGGGCAGTGGCAACTTTTAGGTGTATCTGATTGCTCTAATCTGAAGATGGATTGAATTAAATTACTGGTAGGTTACAAGGTATATAATCTTTCTGTTGTTGCATAACAGAGTATCCTAAAATTTAGCATCTTGCAGACCAGAGCGATAGTCCAGCGTGGGGTTCTTGTCTTGCATGTGGCTGACCTGGGTTTAATTCCTGGTACCACATATAGTCCCCCTAACCCTGCCAAGAATTATTCCTGCCTCTGGCTCTGCACTGCCCTGAACACAGCTATGTGTGTGCCCTCCCACCACCCCCACACCTTCCAGAAAAGATAAAACATTGACAGTGACATATGGTTTCTGTAAGTTGATATTTGCAAAGTAGGTTGGCAAGGTGTTTCTGGTCTGGGCACAGGCTGGCACTGAAAGCATTCATGCCACATTGATCTGAAGGTTTGAGGAGCCTCAACCCTGGAAATGGAGGATCTGCTTCTAAGATGACTCGATTGTGTGTCGCTCACCAGAGATGGCTGTTAGTAAGAGGCCTCTCATAGCTGTGTGTCTCTCCATAATGCTGCTTGAATCCCCAGTACTGGCTCTGACATTCCCCATTGTGCATTAAAGAGAGAACAGGGTAGAACCACATTGTCTTTTGTGACTTTGCCTTGAAGGCCACAGTCTATAATTCCTTCAATATTCCACTGGTAACCAGCTCAGTCCTAATCAGTAGGGAAAGAGAGATGGCATAAAAACTAAAGGATGTGACTCATTTAAAGTCATCTTGGAGTTTCCATATATCTGTGTTATGGTGAAGGGTTAACATTTAGATTTCAGACTACCTAATCTCCAGATACTCACCAATAGTTTTATTTCCCTCCTTTCTCTCTTTCTTTTGCAATACGTTTCCCTTGCCAGAGTGTGATTGGCCTGTTTAACAGTCAGGTTCCTATTCATCTTCTACTCATGATGAAAAAGGGATCCCCAAAGTTTGAAGAAAGCTTGCACAGATATCAGGAGGCAGCTAAGCTCTTCCAAGGGAAGGTAAGTCTGGAACTGGGAGGTGTGCCCTTTAGACTACAGACCCCAGGACACTAAAAACACTAGAAATAACCAGAGAAATAAGATGAAGGAGGAAAAGAAGTTAAAAACACAGAAAGTCAGGACTGGAACATCTAAGATTTAAAATTTAAAATGTATTTTATACTAATCAAGACCATTGATATAATCCGTTGGTAGTAAATTTATTTCCTTTGTGTACCCTGAATTAATGGTGGTGAGAACTTAGAGACCTAATGATCATTTTACAAGTCCATCTTTTTGGAGATAATGAGATTGTATAGGGGTTAAATCATTCACCTCACAATCAGCTGACCAGGTTTGATCTTTGGCACTGCATATGTCCCCCTAAGCACCAAAAGTGATCCCTGAGTATTGAGTGAGGAGAAATCCCTGAGAACAGCAGGGTAGCCTAAAAAGCAAATTGAAAATTATCTATCTGTCACAATGTATTCACTTCTGGCCATAATATCTTAGACCTTTAGATCTCAGGGCTTATTTCTTACAACAAACACCCATCATATACTGAATGCCAAAAAATAAATACATATTTATTTCCCTTCCCTACTTTCTTTTCTGTCAATAATATAGCAAAATGGAACTTCAGAGCTGCTATATTGAGCTAGAAACTTTTTCAATGACAGGGACTGCCTAAATAAGCTGAGGTTTTTGGTTATATTTTTTTTTTATCATTTCCTTACACTGGAAACAGTCTGTGTTCCTGAATATAGGTGATCTACTAACCAGAATAATATAACAATGACTCTTACTTTGAATAGACAGATTTGATGATAGTATAAAATTGTTTAAATTACCGGGCACTCAAAAACAATTTTAGAAATATTAAATCTTCTTGTTTAACTTCCCCCCAACAAAAATCCATTTACTCAGGAGAAAATTTACTCATTTACTCATGAGAAAAGCTGAGTCATGTGCCAAAGTCACAAAACTAGAAAATCCCAGAGGTAAAGTTTACTTAGTCTTTGCTTTTAACAATTAGGTTATGCTTTCTCCCTTACAAATCACTGAAGTTTGTTTCTTTATTCATAGAATGAACTAAATTTTATTAAATAAATAAAATACCCAAACAATGCAAAATATTATTATTTTAAGTTGAGTCGAGGTTTTCATTGTGTGACATGGACTGTATATTCAGTAGGTTTCTTATTATATTTTATTTAAAGAGCCATGATTTACAAAGTTATTCTTTGTTAAGATTTTTTTTTCTTTTTGGGTCACACCCAGCGATGCTCAGGGATTACTCCTGGCTTTGCAATCAGGAATCACTCTTGGCGGTGCTCTGTGGGACCATATGAGATGCTAGGAATCGAACCTGGGTCAGCCGCATGCAAGGCAAACGCCCTACACACTGTGCTATTGCTCCAGCGCCTCATTGTTGAGTTTTAGACATAAGACATTCCAGCACCAATCCCACCACCAGTCCACTAGTATTCCAAAGTTCCCTTCCACCCTCCCAAACCCTTCACTCCCACCTGTTATCCTCACAGGCACTTTTTTAAGTTTAGTTATGTTGAAGTCTGGGTTTCATGTTTTCAGTGTTGTTGACTTCGGGGTTTAGATATTAAGCTGTGCTGATCCTTTATACCCTTGATGTACACGAATCCCCTTGACCCATGCCTCCACTCCCTTTTGCTTTCCATATACATTCAGTAGTTTAGACTACAGCAATTAGGTCTTATCTACCCAGCATCTCAGTTATTCCTCTTCCAAACTTCCCATCTGCAGATTCTTTTTGTTCTGGTGAACAGTAGTGTGAAGGAAAATGGGAAGGTGATATCATATTTCAAATTAAAGGAGTCTCAACTCCCTGCTTTGGCAATTTACCGAACTGAAGACGAGGCATGGGACACTCTGTCCATAGATGACATCTCAGTAGAACGTGTGAAGGACTTTTGTGATGGTTTCCTAGCAGGAAAATTGTTGGTAAGTGGAAGATGGCTGGAAACACCAGTCATCATCGCTTCTATTTCCTGTTACATAAAAAATTGAAGGAATTGTCCATGCCAACTTTGCTCCAGGGGTCTGATCAATGGATATTAATTGAGGCTGCCTGTGACATGTCTGTGGTAGGCTCTAGAAAGTGGAGCTCAGCTACTTCAGCTGAAATCTCAGAGGAAAAAATAAATAAATAAAAGCTGCGAGGTATTCAAAATCTTGTGGCTCTCACGGAAGTATCAATACAAAAGTCCAAAAGGCAACATAATGGGATAACTGATCCAAACAATTCAGTGGGAAGAGGTAGGGGTGTTGGGATTCTTCTACCCAAAGAGGAGGTGATGAGTATGATGCTGGAATCATGAGCATGAGAAACCATTATCAATAGCATTGTAAACCACATAATCTCAATTAAAATTTTTAAATAAAACAATGTATCAAGAAAAATATATAAAATAAAATCTAAAAAAAAAGAAAAAGTGTTAAAACAACTAGACAGAGTCACCATCACAGGGATTCTACTCTTAAAAAAATTAAGTTGTTGGGGCCAGAGTCATAGTATAAGAAGTATTGCATTTCCCTTGCACATGGCCAACCTGGGTTCAATCCCCAGCACCCCATATGGTTCCCTGAGGCCCACCAGAAGCAATTCCTGAGTGCAGAGACAGGAGTAAGCACTGAGCAACACTGGGTGTGACCCAAAAAACAACAAAAAAATGAATAAATAAAAATTAAGTTGTGGTGTAGTAACTTTGGACATCAATATCATATATTTTGGCATTAATGTAGCTGCCTAACTCAAATTATAATTTTTTAAAAAATTATTGGAGAGTTCATTAGATTTGACTAAGAGCAAAGTATATGAGGAAGTAATGGTTCAGAAATAGAATACATGTTAAATTATAGTTATGGAGACAGAATTCAGGAACATTTCTTCGAATGGGTCTTTGTCTATTCAAAGGAACTGAATTTGGGGGTTTGGCTGGAGCGATAGCACAGCAGTAGGGCATTTGCCTTGCATGCAGCCAACATGGCCGACCCGAGTTCGATTCCTCCGCCCCTCTCAGAGAGCCCGGCAAGCTCCCGAGAGTATCTCACCCGCACGGCAGAGCCTGGCAAGCTCCCCGTGACGTATTCGATATGCCAGACACAGTAACAACAAAGTCTCCAATGGAGACGTAACTGGGCCCGCTCAAGCAAATCGATGAACAACGGGAGGGCCTTTACCTTTACCTTTACCATTCTGTGAAATGTCAATGGCAAACAAAAATCAACGGCAAACAAATCATCCCTAGATCAAAAACTCAGGAGATGAAAAACTGGATGAATTTTAGGGCATTAGTAATTAGATAGTTGAGTTTGCTAATCTTAAAATTCAAAAATAAGAGTAGAGTGCAAATCTAAGGAATAGTTTGACAATGTTTTTCAGAGAGAAAATCTTGCATCAGAAGAGAAGGCTCCAAAGGTGGAACTCTGATTTCTCCTTGAAGTTTCAATGGACTCCTCAGTGCCTGGTCTGTTTGGTCTGTGCTGAGTGAAAGGGGAAATTCAAGTCTCAGAGACATTAAAAGATGATCATCAGACTCACTCAAACTCTCTGTCTCACTCTCTCTCTGTCTCTGTCTCTCTGTCTCTGCCTCTGTCGCTCTCTGTGTCTCTCTGTCTCTGTCTCTCTCTCTCTCTCTCACACACACACACACACAGAGCTTCATTTTTTTCCTTGAAATCTCACTTTCCTTGTCCTGTCTTTTACATCTCCTATTCTCTCTCACTCAGTCTGATGTCCATGCGCTCTAACACAACCCTAGATAGAGGCTTTCAGGAAGTACAGGGCTACTTGAGGAAGGAGAGACTTTCTTCAGGACAGATTATGCTGACTTGTCATTCCACATTGATTTTGTACACTGCACATGATATCCACAAAACGTAGTTTCTGCTCTCTCAGGGATACCCCTAGTGTGAAACCCTACTTTCCTCATGAGCACACCTTTCTAACTCAGAGCCAATGACAGACCTCTTTGAAGACCTTTCTGGGACTGTCTGCTTGGCAGTTATTAGTCTCTGCACTCAGCAGTGATAGACCGTTTCCAAACTCAGTGCTAGTGGAGCATCCTGAACTCCCCATGCAAATCAACAACCCTTCTGATAAATAAATAAAGGTGATCATGTTATAGAGAAAGACTGGCATCTCTTTGCAGGCCAAATCTTTGGTAAGTACACAGCTGTGCAGCTAAGCTCCATGTGCTCAGCCTTTGGGGCCCATGGCTTCACCCAGCCACCAATGTGTTATTGTTGCCGCTGTGAGTGAGACGGGAGTTGGCCAGAGACCATCCTGCATGAGGATTGGTAAAAATGTGGCAAAGAAGCTGGGAATTGAGGTAGGTAAAAGGTGGGGGAGTGGGTAGGAGCAAAAGGGCACTTGGCCCGGGGACTGCCACATCTTGGATTACTGCAGATGAGGTGTGCGGTCTGGTCCATGTGGGATGGAGGGAGAGTTTGGCTGAATCTTTGGCCCACAAGCTGTTACTGTCAACACACAGATGTCACATTGTTCCCAGGAGGCCTTTGGCTCAGGAGGCGAGTGTCTAAGTGCTGAAATGCTGGATAACCACAGCTCACCTCCCGGAGAACAGGACACCTGAGAACTGGTCCAAGGGAGCTACAGGGTGAAAGACTTAGTTATTCCATCCTGTGGGGGAAACGCCACAGCCTCCCAGCCCAAAGTCAGCTGCTGGCTAGGGCCCCAGAAAGCCGTCCTGTGAGGCACGCCTCAGCAACCTGAGACAGATGGATTCGGAAGAGGAGGCCAGAACTCCATCCCCAGGGTTGCAGCAAACCACCCAAACAGCCTATTCCTGAGGCTAAAAAATATTCCTGGGATAGGCACAGCCCAGAAACCTCCCTTTGATCCTATAAACTAGAGCTCTTGACATGCACAGTCAAGAAACTCATCCCGCTGTGGCGCTGAGTCTTCCAGCCACACAAGCTTGCTTTTTCCTACCTGAACACCACAGAAAGTTCAGAGAGCTGCCAACCACCACCTCCCAATGACACTTTCCATGCTCACCCTTAGGCCCTCAATGCAGTCTTTTCTTCACACTCAAGATCCAACTTGTCCACCCCATTTTTTTATTTCTAAGTAATTCTGATTCCCTCCCTTTATTATCTCTCCTTCTTCCTTCCCCCAACTTTTACTTTCTTTCTTTCTTTTCTTGTTTTTTTTCTTTTTGGGTCACACCCGGCGATGCACAGGGGTTACTCCTGGCTCATGCACTCAGGAATTACTCCTGGTGGTGCTCGGGGGACCATATGGGATGCTGGGAATCAAACCCGGGTCGGCTGCGTGCAAGGCAAACGCCTTACCTGCTATGCTATCAGCCCCTACTCTTTCTTGTTTAAAAGCATGGAACTCCAAGACCCCAAGAGATAGTATAGGGGTTAAAATGCTCGCCTTGCATGCAGCCCACTCTAGTTTAATTCCCAGCACTCCCAAACACTTTGTGTTTGTGTTCAAGCACAAAGCTGGGCATACTCCCAAATATGGCCAAGTGTGACATCAAAACAAAAATAATATTGTTTAATAAATAAAAGAATGGCATTCTGCGGGTATCCTAGAGGAAAGGGCAGTTCAGATAGAGAAGGGAGCACCAAATAAAGGATGTTTGGAGGATCCTCCCAGGAGGGGAGATGCATGTCGAAAGTAGACTATGGACTGAACATGTTTGCCACTCAATGCCTCTTTTGCAGACCACAACACCCAAAAGAAGAGAGAGAACACAGGGGATTGCCCTGCCACAGAGACAGGGGGGATGGGGGGATGGGGGTGGGAGGGATATTATCCATGGTGGTGGAAAATGGGCACTGGTGGAGGGATGGGTATCTGATCATTGTATAATTGAAACCAAAGCACAAAAAATTGTAAATCTACAACTTAAAAAAAAATAAAATAAAGGGAAAAAAAAGAATGGCACTCTGTACAGAATATTGAATTTGGTAAATGTTAAATGACAAATTTCCATAGCATATGCTTTACTCAATATTGAATTAACTTTTCATTCTTCTACCTAAAGAGTTTCTCCCAGTAACTGTTGTCAACACTGAACACAGAACCCTTTACTGTTTATTGAGATCTGGTGACATAGCAACTTTATTACAGGTGTCTTTTGTACTTTTTTAAAACTTTGTGATATTTAATTTAATTATTCTCCTCAATGTGGAGTTCTCCAGAAATACACAATACCTGCTTTCACTTCTTTTTAGCATTGAGGGTTCATAACTATAGAATGAAACTTCAGAGAGTGGAGATTTCCAAATTTCTAATTTAGTTTATGCACTCAAAATCAGACTCCATGTTATAAACTTCTGAAATTTATAGATATTCTCTGTCTCTGGGGAAATACAGAGCTCACGATCACAATCATCCTGTTATTTGTCAATTGCCTCGAGCAGGCACCAGTAATGTCTCCTTCCCCCTAGCCCTGAGATTTTAAAAAGTGCATAATCAAGGCTCTTTCAGGGTTAGGAGAATGAGACCCATCATTGTTACTGGTATTTGGCATATGGGTACAGAGCTAATACTCCATATTTACTTACCCATATTATTCTTGAAATATCTAGATATAGCTCAGTTATTTTTTTCAGAAGTGAATCATTCATCAGCCCTAGGTAGACCATACTTTTCCTTTAACATTTGCAGAAAGTGGTGGTGTTTTGCAAGAGACCTTCATGAAACATGCTGGAATATTTTGAAGACTGATAGAAGGAAGGATGGGAACCAGGCATGAGTCAGCAGAGTGGCAGGGAAGTTTGTATTTTAGTCTCACCTCTTCTGCAAATAGCTTTGTGGCCTTAGGAAAAACACTTTCTGTCTCTGAACTTTAGTTCATTGAGGACAATACAATAATTCTTAGGACATTTTGGGAAATGAGGATGACCTAGGATACACATTAAATGACGTCTGCCATGTTTGTGCTATATTTTACTCTGCACTGATTTATCTGGTCACATAATTCAATTATCAGGATTTAAGAAATTTACCAGGACCAATTTACCAGGATCTAAGAAAAAGAAAATTTTTCTTGATCCGATATTCAAAAATATTTGAGATTACTCTAAACTTTACTAGTATTTAATTCTTGATGAAGTTAACGTATGAGGAATCAATGCCACTGAAAATGTAGTATGCAACCCACAGTTCCCAAGAGGAAGGAGCATGTCATGCCATTCAGAGCCACATGGGAAAGCACCAGTGTTGAAGGCACAAGGAGAGAATATGTGAAAGAGACTTGGTGGTTGTTTGTATGAAACGAATGGAGGATACCACATATTTGGTGGTAAATAGTCAAATATTTTCTTCAGACTTGAGGCCTTGGAGTTGTTACTACACTATCTGGCTACTGGTCTGGTGAATAGGATAAGTGGTTGATGGCCAAAGTATGAAAGCTCAGTAGAGGAAGTGGTGGGATATAGGCTCTGGATATATGCATGTAAAGGCCTCTCAGACAGGGGAGTTGATTCCTCTAACAGTTAGCTAGCTCTGGGAGGAGCAATCCCCTAGGGTAGGTAAGGGCCCAGAGAATAAAGCATCAAAACATGTGTTGGTGGTGTCTTTGTTTGCTTTTGGTATTAGGGAGACATGTGCCTCATGTTTTTCAATTTCCTGGAAAAGCTTGAGGAGAACTGGCAAAAGGTCTTCTTTAAATGTTTGGAAGAATTCACTAGTGAATCCGTCTGGGCCTGGGCTTTTGTTTTTGGGAAGACTTTTGATTGCCGCTTTAATTTCCTTGATATGAATGGGTTTATTCAGGTATCCCAAGTCTTCCTGGTTCAAACTTGGGAGATTATAGGAATCCAGGAATTTATCCATTTCTTCTAGGTTTTCGTTTCGTGGCATATAGACTCTCAAAGTAGTCTCTGATAATCTTTTTTTTTTTTTGTCTCTGATAATCTTTGGAATTTCATTGGTTTCTGTTGTGATGTCCCCTTTTTTATTTCTTATTCAGTTTATTAGGGTTCTCTCTCTCTCTCTCTTTTTCTTTGTGAGACCTGCTAGTGGTTTATTAATCTTATTTATTTTCTCAAAGAACCAGCTCTTGGTTTCATTGACCTTTCGGATTGTTTTTTGGGTTTCCATGTCATTAATTTCTGCTCTAAGTTTTATTATTTCTTTCCTTCGGCCGGGCTTGAGTTCCTTTTGTTGGTCTTTTTCTACGATCTTGAGCTGTGTGGTTAGGTTATCTATATAGGCCCTTTCTTCTTTCCTTAGGAATGCTTGCAACGCTATAAATTTTCCTCTTAGCACGGCATTAGCTGCGTCCCATAGATTCTGGTAGTTCATGTCTTCATTCTCATTTGTTTCCAGGTATCTTTTATTTTGTCTTTGACTTCCTTCCTGACCCACTCATTGTTCAACATTGAGTTGTTTAATTTCCAGGTGTTTGATTTGTTTCTCGATGTCTTTGTGTGATTTGCTTCTAT